GTTTTCCTCCCCCAGCCCTTATTTCACGAGCTACTCATCCAGGGTGGGTTTATTTCTGGTTTTGCCTGAAGGTGGCAAAACTTCCACTCAGGAATCTCCTTCCGCTTAAGGGTGAACACGTGCTGGGTCACAAAACATCCTGCGCCCATAGTGGATGTGGAATGGGCAGACCCAAGCCCTTGATGTCATGAACTAATAAAACTTCACTACTGGGCAATGGGAGACCTAAAGTGACTGCCAGAGCGCCCCTGTGTGCCTCATCTCAACCTTTCCTCCCCCTAGCTTGCTCTGTAGCTTATCAGAAGTCTTGTTCTTTCCCTTCCTCCCACCATGTACCAGCCTGTTTGCATAGCCCCTTCCTTTGGCTCCAGTCTCTGTTGAGCAATGCAAAGTCCTTGGGTATGTGTAAATACACACGGAGGGAGTTGGAGCATGCATTGCTAATATGTGGACAAGAAATCTTTATGAACAATGTTACTGTGCATGTCTGAAGGCTGCCTTTCAAATCCACACTCCACCCGGCGTCATTTTGCCCTTCCCTAAATACCCAAAGCATATTGTTCTCTGCTGCCTTCTGTGTAATGCTCATTATGGGCATCTGCCTCTGTGAAAACATTGCAGGCCTTTTGCTGCTGCCTCATACCCTTGTCCGGGCTCTCCCCTGGTGGCACAAGGACATGTCACATGGGGGAAGACACGGTCATGTGGCTGGTTTCCCCCCCGACCCTCAGCATCCTTCCTAACTAGTCACCCCTGATCCATTTAGGGCAAGGATGGGCAATAATTTTTTGCTGGGGGCCACTTCAGAAATTTTTGAAGTGGCCCCAGGTTTCACCAGAAGGGGCACGGCCTCAGTAGAAGGGGAGGGGCCAGGATACTTCCCTGCTTTTCCACCCACAGACCATGATTGGTTTGGAGCGCCTTTGGCACCCCCCCCCCCGGGTTTTCCCCCCAGGCACCCATGCCCCTGGCGATGGGAGGAGACACCGCATGCTCCCCCTCCTGCCCCCAAGCCAGTCAGGACTTGGGGGGCAGGGGAGCGCGCAAAGTCTCCTCCTGCCCTGCCAGGAGTGTGCGGTGCTTCCGCATGCTCCTGGCAGGGTGGAGGAAACTTTGTGTGCTTCCCCCCCACTCCCAGGCCCTAATTGGCTTGGGGGTGGGGGAGCAGCAGGGCCTCTGTGAGGATCAACCTGTTTGGCGGAGACCACGGAGGCCCTTTTGCTCACCCCGATCTAGTCTGACCTTCTGTATGGCATAGGCCAGAGGACTTCCCCAAAGTAATTCCTAGATCACAAACATCTGTCATAAGCCCATTGGAACATCCAGGAAAAGCAGCAGCTCAGAGGTAGCATTAGGGGTGTCTGGGGGAAGCAACTTAACTGGTAAAAAGAAAAGAATTACCCATGCAGCTGGCTGGGACCTGGTTCATTGAGTTTCAGCCCAGAAAGAGGCTCAGACTGCACATGAAGCAGATTTTTTGAAGGGGGTGGAGTAGGGGGAAAGGGCCTGTATTGGCAATGCTGGTAAGAGCTGTGTTTGTGCTGCTCAGTAATTAGTATCTTTGCTTCCTCACCAGCCAGAGCATTGGTTAAAGGAAAACATGCACTTGCTCTGATCAGCAGTTAATTCAGAAGGTTTTCCCAGCATGCCAAAGTGTCTAGCTCCCCCAGGAGAGAGGCAGCCTGTGTTGTGTATTAGAAAAGGAAGAGGGATCTGACTCAAAGAAGAGGCCATTGCCAAAGTGACCTCTTTCATGACACTACAGGCAGCCCCTATCATTACCGTTTTTAAGGGGGACACAGCAGGCTGAAAGGAGGGGGCCACTCCCCCAAATGCAGTTGTGCATTCAGCCCTGTTTGGCACAAAGGAGACCACCCCAATCTCAGAGGGCACTGAGGAATGGCGTACATCTTGGGAACCTGGTAGAGCTACCAGAAACCCAATGCTGGTGCAAATTCTGGCGTTTTTGTTATAGAAACCTGGAGAGAGGGGCCAGGAGGCAGCTCCATTATCCGCCTGCCTCTCACTGTCCCTGGCTCCTCGGTCTCTAACAACATGCTGCTTGTTTCATCCTCGGTAAAGCATTTTAATGCAGGCACCTGACAATAAGCAACCCCTCCCCAGCTGGCTCCCCTCATCCAGACAGAAGCTGTCACTGGAATCGCTTTGAAGTGAACCTTCTGTTTGCTGATGAATAGCAGCCTTTTTCCCCCTTTTCTTAGGGGGGCCAGCTGGCACACCGGATGCAGAACTGCTGTAAACTTATCTCTCCTGCCTCTGAGAGTATAAGTTTGCAGGGCCTGCAGTCTCCAGACGGCCCGTCTCATCCACTAGATCCATCTCGGTTTTGCACAAAACATACCCAAGCTGCGCGGCTGGTACTGTAAGCTCTCAGATCACCCATGGAGAGCTCCAGGTTTCCATGGAAGTCAAACAGTGGCAGTGTTTCAGATTATGGTGGTCATGGGGAGCAACTTTAATCATGATTCCAGGGGCTACTTAAGCCCTCAAATGCTAGTTTAGCTATATATAAAAAAGAAAATTGATCAGATATTAGACCTGCTCAGCTCTAACAACAACATATTCAGGCATCTTGTGGCAAGTCACTGAAGGAACACTGATTAGCTTAAAAACTGTAATGTATATTTTTACTTTGTTACTATTTGCAGCGAGACAGGCCCCCTCATCAGGACTATTGGTGCCCTCCACCCCTATGGGCTTCAGTAAGAGCCAGGAATCCTCAGCATCTCCCTGTGTTTAGCATGGTGACTTCAATAGAGGTGGCCCAGCCATTCAGAGAATGAAAGGGCCTGGGGCATAAGTGACTTGGTTGCAGAGATCACAAACCGACCTCAATAAGTTCCCAAGCAAGTCACCAGCCGAGGTCTCCAGGGTCCTTATCTGCCTGGGAATTGATCTGGCACCAGTGCTGCTTCATCAGCATGTCTGAGCCTCACTCAGGCCTGTTATTTTAACTTTGAGGGTCATTGAAAAGCCAGGAGGCATTTGTCTCACTGCACTGAGCAGAGCCTGTTGCAGGGAACACCAGGTGCTTCTCTGCTGGTTGGCACTGGCTAAGGCCAGATTAACCCCCAGTCCTGGGCTGGACTGATGAGAGTCCTTTGTGAGCTGGGTTGTGTTCTTGCTTCACTGTAGTTTGATGGGCTATGGTTAATGTTTAAACAGGGACATTTTCTACTGAATGAAACATAACGCAGGAAGCTGGCTCACTGAATCCCAGCCTGAGACTCCTCTCCGTTCCCTAGCCTCTGACTCGAAATGCCTTGCCTCTTCTTTCTTAATCTCCTCTTCAGGCCGACCCACAGGACACACAGCTAAGGGCAAAGGCAGCAGGACACTGTCCCCGCTAGTCCACTTGTCTTAGCTACCTGAAAAGACAGAAAAATCAACTTGTTCTGCACAAGTGTGGCCTCTCTTTTTTTTATGAGGGCTTTTCTGTTTATGGAGGGTGCCAGGCTGGTAGCCAGGAAGACTGAGGTCTTTTTTCTGTTAGCCCGCAGGGCAATTACATCATAGGCAGCAGCATTTCCAGCTATCCTGTAAAGCAGGGCTATTTAACATGTGCCCATGGGTGGGAGCTAAAGCAAAAAAGCAGTCAACATAATGGTCTTCTGTTGATATGCATTTTACTACTAGTTAAATTCCTAGACTGTCATTGCTCATTAAAAGAGCTGTCATATCGGTGGAAATTGGGAAAATATTGAATTTTATTAATATCAGCAAAACTGACTTAAATGGGGCCTGTGTGTTGTATAGTCTTGCCTTAATCTTTGTATTCATGCCCGTCAGTGTGAAGGAAGCTATTTGCATATATATTTGCATGTATACGCAACCACCCTTAAGTTGCAGCCCTTGGCATATGCTGAGAGTATCATTGTGGCCCCCAGAGCTTCCAAACTTGAGTAGCCATGCTGTAAAGGGTCCAATGTCAGCGGGAGGCCACGCTGACTCCCTAGAGTGCCCCTCCTGAGGGCAGTTGCTGTGCCGCAGTTGCCAACAAGTTTGTGTGGCACGCCTCGGCCTAGCTGTTGGCCGAGAGACAGGATCTAACGCCCAGCCTGAGCTAAAAGGGTCAGGGTAGAGCAGATAGACTAGTTATTTACACTAGTAGTTCAATAATTCCCCATTTATAGGGCCCAGCCCTGGTTCAAGGCGGGGCGGACAGATGTTTATCAGAAGCAGTTCAACAGTTTGGAGCTTCGGCCAGGTCCCAGCCGGGCAGGGATAGTCTCCTCGCTGACAGAGAGCTGACAAGCTGCCCCCAGAAGAGAGGAGTGGCAGGGGGAACGCAGGCCCACCCACTCCACTGCATCTCAGCCCAGGGCCCTGACAGTGGTAGTGTTGCAGCCACGGGGTCGGTGGGGATCCAGGCCGCTATGTGCCGACTAGGTCAGTGGGTCAGCAGGGATCCAAGCTGCAATGCGCTGCCCCCCCAACCTCCATCTCTTCAGGTGCCCCGAGGTCGGCTACCCTGAGCCGCTTCCCAGTTCCCCCAGGCTCAGGTGCTGCTCCTTGGTGTCCACTGGCGACAGAGGGGCTGGCAGGATGTCCATGGGTTCTGGCTCAGGAAGGGGCCCAGGTGGGGCCAGTCCAGTCATCTGGGCCCGTCAGGGGTCTCGGAGGGCTCGGTGTGTTTTCAGGCTGTGGCAGCGGTCTCAGCAGCCTGGGCCAGGGATTGGGGGCCGGCAGCGGTCCTGGCAGGCCAACCCAGTCCTCCCCATGAGGTGCAGTGCGGCTGAGCCCTTCGCTGCGGGAGCTGGAGCCAGGCATCTGGCTTGTTTGGCTGCCGGGTCCTGACTGAGCTCTCAGCTCTTATATGCCTAGTCCTGCCCCCCGGCTTCCTGTGGATGGGGCTGGGTGAGGGTGGACCTGCCTCTAAGGGGTCTTAGAGGGCCCTTCCTGTTCTGGATCAGAGAGAGGCCATGTTATTGCATGTCCCTATACCATCCTATCACTGCTCCTGTATGAGCATGAGAGAAATTCAGTTTCCCTTGGTCTCTCCATTCAGTGACTGGCCTCTCTTCCGAGAATGCCCCCTTTGGGCAGGTGACATGGATGGAGCTCATCTGAGACCCACCCACCCATTTCATGTGGGCTATGAACAGGGATGTCCTTGAGATTTATGGGACCCTACACAATCCTATTGAACTGATGCCCCTATGCCCAACAGCAGCCTGGGGTAGGATGTGATTTTATAATCAGCAGCACACTAAAGACATTTTTAAACTAAGGCCCTGTAGACTAACACAATAAATTTAGAAATGGACAGTATCTACCTGGGGTCGGCCTGTTCAATGACTTCATTGCCACTGGAATGGCTCTTTCACAGGTTGAGTGTCTGCCCATAGCTCTGGCAGGCTTTGCCACTTTTAAATTAACTCAATCTTCTCCAGAAGAAGCAGAGCTGCAGAACAGGGATTGGAAGAGGCAGGTGGATGGACATTAAGACCCAGTGGTTCCCCACAGTTTTAGATGCCCTATGCAGCTGTGTATTCTGTGTATGGGTGTGGATGGCCCTGGCTGGGAAATAGCTATAGAATACTATAACTGGTCAGAAATTGCCCCATAGGACAGTTTTGTTGGACTACGCTGTTTAGACCAAACGGGTACATTCCCAGGAAACATTTTGATATTTGTTCAGTTTTTCCTGAGAAGCTGTTAAAATGTGTTTCATTTGCACTGCTTTGACTTTGATTTCATATTAAATGAAACATTTTTATAAGATTGAAGTGAAATATTTTCAGAATATTTCATTTTGCACAAAGTTCGGGGAGGGACATTTTGTCCCATCTCAGGATAAAATCGAGTTTTGGAATCTTGGAGTTTCCCCAAGGATGGAAATTCCACATTTTAAACAGCTCTACTAATGACTTCCACCCTGCTAACCTGGGCTAGATTTTGACAAGAAAACTAGAGTTGAATGGCTCCTTAGGTCATTGGGAACCTTCAGGATCGTTCAGGGTTCCCACTTTCTCTAAAACACTCACATTTGGCCCCTTGAATTTCCCACATAGTCTCAACTTCCATCATTGGTCTCATCAGCTTGGTATTAGCTAATGTGTGTGAAGTGCAGCAGACTTGATGGTCGCTAAGTACTCCACTATGCGATACAATTCTATACACCTTTCATACTCCTCTGGCATGCCTGGGCTTCTTCATTTGGGTGTATTTACTGAGTTAGAGGATACATTGGTTCCATGCACGTCTCATGTTAGAAAATGTAGATGTCACAATGGGCAAAACTGTTGCAGTCTTGTCTTAGCATGACAGCACTGAAGAGAGAAAACCCCTGGTTTGATATAGCCCCCATTTCAAAGGGAGCCATTGTCCCCTGAATTTTCCATAGGTCCTCCCTGCTTTTGAAAATCTATTGCCCCACTTCCTGCAACAGACATGGCTGGGGTCAAGGCCCTTATCTTTTGGCCAGTCTAGCCCATGTTGAGATGTTACACCCAACTTGAGATTTGATACCTTTGCTTAGGTGTCTCATGAATCTAGTTGATACAGGACCAGCCTGTGCTGCTGCTGGTACTCCCGTGCTCACGTGTTCTCACTTGAGGGGGACAGCGGAGGCCCAGGAGACATAGGAGATGATGGTGTGGTTACGCTTCCCCCCTGAGGCTCCCTGTGTGGTCTCTGTTCTAGCCTGCTGCAGCAAGAATCATTGCTCTTGGTGCCTGGAGGGATGTCCCGAGACACCGGAAGTCATGACCTGAACAGAGAAAGCAGCATGAACAGGTGAGTGGTTCGGAGGAATATAGATGCCATCTGTCATGCTTTCCTCCTGCCAATTGTTCTTGTGGGGAATCCTTACTGTGGCCTCCCGGATGGGATGGGTCCAGCAGCATCAGACCACGGCATTTTGTTATTTTCCTTTTCACATGGATCTTGTGCAGGTCGAGGGCCCTGGGCTGACAGTCCTGCCCAGCAGAGCTTCAAGTATCCCCAGAGCAGGCAGCAACAGGGCCAGCTTCTACATTGCCTTGTCCGTGCCCCTAACCCAGGCCTGGAAGGCCCATCTGCAGGATGGGATGGAAGTTTGGTCCCATGCCTCTGTGCTGAGACTTCCAGGCAGGGGCTCGCTTACTCCCAGCTGCTTTTTTGTGGTGGGACTGGAAGGGGGCCAGCATCTCAGCAACAGTTGTCAGTCACTTCAGCCCTGGTCTGGATTGGAACTGGCCACCTTGTGGTTTATTTATTTCCATTAGTTTAACTCCTTGCTTAGGGGAGAAGGGCTGTTGCTCTTTTATGCCCCATCAGGTCTGTGCATAACTGATGGCCCACAGAATGTACAATCTAAATGGAGAGGGGCTTTCACACGTTTTACAGTGGGAACTGGGATAGTAATTAAGAGACTTGCCCATGGTGACGCAGGATAGGTGGCAGAGCAAAGAACAAGATCCATAACTCCAAGTGCCTGTGCCAGGAAACACTCACTATTCCCCCTTATGCCTGGACACAATGTGGCAGGGGGTTCTTCACCGGCGTGCCTCTTGCTGGCAGCTTCCTTGGCCCAGAGCTCCAGCCAGGTCCCTTTTCAGTTTCTGGCCTTGGTGAGAGAAAAACCCAGACAGAACAAACCCAGAGTTTCCTGGCCCAGCTTTCAGTCCCTGACTCGTAGTGCTGAAGCTTGTACTTCCTCCTCTTCCTGGGGGAAGGGAACCGAGCCCACCTGCTGCTCTGGGTTCCAGGGATCTGCATTGGGCAGCTGAACCATGCTCCTCACAATCGCTCACTGCTCCTCAGCCTCTCACAGGGTTGCAGGCTCCACTGCCCCTGCTCCAGAGCTGTTTCCTCACATGATTTTCTTCCCAGCCAGCTGCAGATCCCATCTCTCAAGTCTCTTCCCATTGACTGCAAATGGAGTCATGAAGGCATGGCAGCTCTGAATCATGGGGCCTCTGAAACAGGGCTCGCAAAAACCCAGGCACTCAAAATCAGTGCAGATTTAAATGCTTGGAGCAAAGCAACTAGCTCCAGGTCACACACTGACCCAGTACCAGAACTTGGCCAATCCCCAGGTTGCCTAACTTGCAACTAGAGTTGAGTCCCAGTGAGAGGGACAGGAAGAACTATAGTAGAAGCCATTGGATCTTGTTATGCTCCTCAGTGCAGGAAAGAGAAATGCACACAGGTGAAATTCAGCGCAGAAGGATATTTAGCCTATGTCTTTTTTTTTCCCAGTGGGAAGCCATCTAAATATTCTTCTGAGTCCAGCAAGGCTGAGCCCATCAAGAAACAGGTAATGAGCATATTCTTAGTGCTGTCATTTTTATCACTTTGTCCTCGTCTCTCCAAAGACTTTAGCTAGGTTGGGGTCTTGCAAAAGAACCCAAAGAGGAAGGGGAAAATAAGGGCTGTTCATTAGAAAGGTGTTTGGCACTCACCACCCCTCTCTAAAGAGACTGAGTGATCCTGGATTTGCAATTCTGACAAGGCTGGACCTTTGGTTTAGAGAAGCAGAGAGTTTCAGCCGTTCCTAAGCTCTCCCCACACCACCTGGGCCTGATAAACCAGACTGGGAGTGATTTGCTCCTGCAGGCCAGTAACTTTCCTCATGGCATGTTGGAGCCTGAGAGCCAAGCTCTGGGAGGACCACAAAGAAGCGAGAACAGGAGAAGTGCTAATGGAAGAAAAGCAAGCCACACTGTTCCAAAGCTCAGCATGGGGCGAAGGTGGGAGAACCTTGAATTTAATCCAGAACAGTTCTCCCAATGATAGTGGGTGTGGTGGCACTTCACATTCAACTCCTGCACCTGTCAACTGTGTTATGTTCTCCCCGTGATGTGACTGGCAAGGGGCTGGCCGTCTCTGGTGAACCTTCGCAAGCAAAATAAATAAGCAAGAAGTCCTAGCTGGTGGGAGGAAGCGGAGGGCTGTTGAGCAGCATGTGTGGAAGTGTTAAAGCCCAGGTCTGTACTGTCCACACTAGCTAAGCTATGGCAGAGCATCAGTGGTCTTGCCCCAGTGCCATTTGAAGTCAGTGGGAGTCGGATCCAGACCATAGAGTGCCCACTCCTATAACTCATACTCACCCAGTTTGTATGGGGAGTCATCCCCACTGACTTGCCAAGCCATGGCAGAATCCTACGTAGAACTCTGCTTTCACGTGATTGTCGCACTGACTTGCCAAGCCAGGGTAGATGGGCCTGTGTAATGCTCATCTCCCTATGGTCTCGCTTTCCATGGACATTCTTGGTACAGTAATAACTCTGGCTGTGATTTGAAGCTGCAAGGAAAGTACTTTTGAGCTGTGATGAGGAAATAGCTGAGTCACTAATAAAGTGTTGGAATCCACTTAACACAGAATAAGTCTGTGGAGTAGACGGTAGCGCTGCTGTTTATAGAACACTCTTCATCACTGAGTGATTAACTGATTCAACCAACCCTCCTTCTGAGTTGGGTACCAGCATGCTCCTTTTGCAGATGGGGCAGCTGAGGCACAGAGCAGGGAAGTGACTTGCTGGAGGTCACAGATCAAGCTATTGGCAGAACCATGGACAGGAACCAGGCGTTCCCAGCTGGACTCCGACCAATATGTATATAAGCTCCATCGGGCAGGGACCACCCTTTCATTCTGTATTTGTACAGCGCCTAGCGCACAGGCCCTGCTCCATGATTAGTGCTTGTACAGGGTCCCACAACTCAAAAGACAGTAGTAACAGCAATTCAAAGAGCTGCAGCTGCTGAAGAGAAATATGAAAACTTCTCTGTGGAATCAGCATACATCCCTGGGTGGGTACATCCATCTCAAACCTCTCTGGCATCTGGCAGGGGATGCAGGCTTTAAGGAGAAGTGTGGAATGATCTCCAGACCAAAATGTGGTTCCTTCTTCTTTCAGGCTAGCCGGTGCCCCCAGTCGCTGATGTCGAAAGTGAAGGCAGACCCCAGGTTCGGGAAGCTCTTTAGATTCCGCATCCCAGTACTGATGTGGGAGCGGCACTTCACCCCAGAAACCTGGCACAGACTGAAGGAGCGCAGTGTCCCATATGGCTGGCAGAGCTTGTCCTACACAGGTAATGGACCTGATGATGACTTGCTAGATGCCACACTCCTAGTCCCAGGAGTATCCCAGAACCCTCCACACTCATGAACTCTGACAGGCACAGAGTGACAGGGCCATGGAGCATGAGCTCCCACATGGAATGACACTGGGAGGGAAGGTGGCACCACTGCTGTCCATGCCACAGCTGTTGGGAGAACCTCTCCTGTAGTGCTGGGCTGGGCACCTCCCACCAGCATCACTTGTTGCAAGATGGATAGCTATGTGGGATGGGGGTGCAGCTTGGGCAGGTGAAGGGGATGGGCAGAGGGGGCAGGGCAGCTAGGGTAGGGTAGGCAAGGGGATGGGACAGCTGTGGGTGAATGGGCTGAGGCAGGATGGCAGGGGTGAACAGGATGGAAGGGGGTGGGATAGCTTGGGGGTGAATGGGATGGGGGTGGGATAGCTGGTGAATGGGATGGGGATAGAATAGCTGGCTGGGTGAAAGGATAGGAGGGGATGGGATAGCTGGGGGGTGAAAGAATAGCTGGTTGGGTGAACAGGATGGGAGGGGTGGGATGGGAGTGGGGATGGAATAGCTGGCTGGGTGAACAGGATGGAAGGGGGTGGGGTAGCTGGAGGGGTGAAAGAGATGGGAGAAGGGACAGGGCAGCAGATTTACAAGCCAAGTGCTTACACTGAGGGCTTGTGTACACTGGCAAGTTATGGCACTGTAACTTTCTGAATCAGGATATCTGAAAAAACACCTCCTCCACCCCCCAAGTGCAGCAAGGTACAGAGCTCTGGTGTAAACGGGCTCCCAGCGCTATCAGCAACTCCTCTCGTGGAGAACGTTTACCTAGGGCGCTGTGCTGTAACCACACGGCCACTTTAAGTGCTTTGCCTTTGAACGTTGGACACAGCCTGAGGTTTCTCCTGCTCCCAGCGTCCGTGCCCAGGGGAAGGAAGGTGTTGGGCAAGCTGCTTCTGAGGGGAAAGGGTGATGACTTCAAGTTGCAAATCTTGTGGGGGCCGGTTGCTCTACAGATTTCTTTGGCAGAGAGGTAGGGGCATGGCTAGATACAGATCATTCTACACCAGGCCAGGATTGAAACGCCCGCTGTGCAAGCAGAGAATTCAATATCTTTTGGCTAATGTCCCAGTGTCCCTCCCCACAGGGAGTCAGAGCAGGGAGGGTGGAAAGGGACCAGTTTGGAAATGCTGCAATCAACATCTTGTGACATTTTCCTGAATAAATGGTCCCAGTGTCTTCACAATTATTAACTCAAACCACAAGGCTCTTGAACAAGCCGCTCCATTGTTGCTGGAGACTGGATGACAGGAATTGTTTCCCTTCCTACCCAACACCCACCCTCTGCACCTCTCCAGCCACACGGCCCCTGAATGGGGAAGTGACAAGGGGCGTTTGGGGGCCTAACGACAGCGGCAACGTGGGCAGCACCAGCTGCAAAGTCGGAGTTGTGGCTGAAAGGGCAAGGGTAGGCTTCTGTCTCAGCAGGCCTAGGATGATGCAAGCAGAGAGCACTGTGGCATCTACTGCCTAGTGCCTGCCTTGCACACCACGCCCAGGCGGCAAGACACACACGAGGAGGCGCTGGGAGCTGGCGGAGCTCTGGGACGGGCCCACTTTAGATGTCATAGACCGGGGTGGGCAATACTTTTTGATGGGGGTGGCCACTGCAAGAATTTGGAAAGTGGTTGAGGGCTGCACTCTTCCATGATATTAATGGAGGAGGTGCGGGATCTGGGATTGGGTGCAGAAGGGAGCTTGGGGCAAGGGAGGGAGTTTGGGTGAAAGAGGCAGTTGTGACCTGGGGCACTGGACTGCGGTGCAGGGGGTTGGATTGTGACCTAAGGCAGGGAATTGGGGCACATAGGATTGAGGTGCAGGGGTTTGGGTTGTGAGTTAGGACAGGAGGGGACTGAGATCCGGGGCAGATGATTGGGGTGCCAGATCTGGGAGAGGGTGTGAATGCTGGAGGGGTGTAGAGGATTTGGGTATGTGGAGTGGGGAGCAGAGGGTTGGGAGAGGGAGGGACTGGGGTACCAGAGGCAGGCTCTGGCCAGGAGACTTACCAGCAAGCAGCCCAGCACTTTCCTAAAGCAGCCTTCCTTTCTGCCCCATCCCTGCACATCTGCAGCCACGTGCTCTGTGAATTAACTACGAGTCCCTGTCGGGATGGAGCATGGTGCTTCTTGGCTGCCTGTTATTAAAACAGGCAGCTCCCATTGGCCAGTTTCTGGCCAAAAAACGGCCATTGGGATTATGTTGGGGGAGGGAACAGCTCCTAAAACCTTCTCCCCTCCCATCCGGGCTCACAGATTTTAAAGCAAAACCACCTGGCAGCCACATTTCTGAGTGGCATGCAGGTTGGGTGAGGAAAGCGGGGAGCCTGCTGGGACTCCCTGCTGCATCTGCGAGCCGGATCCTGTGGCTTGGTGGGCCGTATTTACCCAGGCCTGTCCTAGACCAGTGTGCTTCTCTCACTCTGTACCTGTCTGGGGCTGATTAGCCTCTTCTTGCCTTGCTCTGTAGTAATTGCCTCCACCTTGCATCTGCTCAACGACTCTGCCAACAGCTGGCTGGTCAACAAAGCCGGGTTCCCCGAAAGCTGTGTGAGCTGTGCCGTAGTCGGGAATGGAGGGATTCTCAACGGATCCCGGCAAGGCAAGGAGATAGATGCCCATGACTTTGTTTTCAGGTATGGAGAGCTCTGCAGCCCACACTTCCCGGGAGCCAGGGACACTTACCCCTGCCAGGGAATGGGTCAGTGGGGCTGTTGTGCTCCTTACCTAACAGAGGATCCTGCTTAAAGATCTTGTGTCTTAATAGGGGCAGGTTTAAAGTGGTGCCAGGGCATTTGAGGTAGGGCAGCTCCAGCTCTAGCTGTCCCTTTCATGCCCTGCTTGTCACGTGCCCAGATGCTGCAGCAGAGGGGGCAGGATTATTCAGCGTTAAATGGTAACTCAGGCCAGAGACCGCAGAGCAAATCCCTCTCCCATAGTGCCCGTTTCTGGCTGCTTTAGCCTTTCCTGGATGTCCCAGTGTAAGGCATATTCCATCCACTTTGCACCAGCGGGGGATCAGCTGCCTCCAAGGACATTTGCCAGGCTTTGTGCAATTAGGGCCGGTGTAGAGGAAGGTGCAATTCTTGCCAGCGCTTCCCAGGTGACTCCTGCCGAGAGTGAAGGCAGCAAGAGTGCTCTGCACACCGGTGCGGGGAGAGGAAATGGAGACCGAGGACACCAGCACAAACCCCAGGTGCTGTGGAGAGACTGAGGGAGATTTGTTGCCCAAGCTAGAGAGAACTGTTTGTAGTAACCCATCTGAGCTTTGCCCTCGGCACCTCTTGGGTGCATGGCTACTCCCCAGAAGAATGAGGAATGAGTCACCCTGCTGGGAACTGAACCAGGACTCCAGGCTTCTCAAACTGCATGCACAACTCTCTGTGCCATACCAGTGTAAAAAAGTGAGCAACTCTAGGCAACTCTGCAGGCATACACAGGCACACAACAGCCCTGTTAGGGGCAGCAGCACCATAGGGGTAGAATCTCACTTATTGCCTCTGGCGAAAGACTGGTCCTTAACTAGAGCCCTGGTCCTCTCCCTTCTCCACACACAGGCTAAACGGAGCTGTGATCAAAGGCTTTGAAGATGACGTTGGCACCAAGACATCTTTCTATGGTTTCACAGTGAACACAATGAAGAATTCCCTGATTGCCTATGGGGAGTATGGCTTCACCCAGATACCCCAGTCCAAGGTAAGCGGGCGGGTAGGGGGGAGCCTGCGTTTGTTCTGCGGATATTTGGTGGAGGCAACTTGCACTGAGGAATGGAGCTCAGCTGTGTAAAGTGCAGGAGGCCCTGAGAATGGTGGCCCTTCCTGGGAGGTCACCCTGGTTCTTTTCACTACCACCAGAAACCTCCTCTCTATTTGTGAAGACCTGGGTGTTGGCTCAGTCTGCCACAGCTCTCATGCTCACCAAGGAACATGTGTACGTTCAGGCATCTGCCAGTGGTGAATGAGGCTCTTGCATCTACGTGGGGATGTGGGTGTGACCACACATGTTGTAGCACCTGCTACAATCATATGTATTTTGTGTGCCTCTCTCCTCCCCCGGCTGCAGGACCTGCGGTACATTTTCATCCCCTCAGACATGCGCGATTACATCATGCTGAAGTCCGCCATACTGGGCAGCCCTGTCCAAGAGGGTCATGACAAGGGTGATGAGTAAGTAACCCTTCCAACCTGCTCTCTGCTCCTCCTGAACTGTCTCAGGCTTAATGCTCCTGGGAAACCAATATCCTCCAAATGCAGGGTGGATAAAGCACTGACAGTGCTAGTACATGTTGCCTTCTGCAAAGGTGTCTCGGCTGTAGCTAAGGTACTTATATGGCCCGCATTACAGTAGTATCTGAGCTCCTCACAGTCTGTATATAACCTCACAACAGTCCTTTAAGAGAAGAGTCATTGTACAGATTGTGGTACAGAGACTAAGTGACTAGACCAAGGTCCCACAGGATGGCAGTGGCAGAATGGGAACATGGGTCTCCCAGATCCCATCTTTCATCTCTCTACTCTGTCTTTGGGCTGAGCCCAACCCCAAGTTGGAGCAGCTCTAAAAGCATTGCTAAGTCCTCCACAATGACCAAATCAGAAGTTTAATAAAGAAAATCTTCACATGCAGAAATTATTCTTCTCCTCTCTATTAACAACAGTTGTTTTCACAATTATAAGCAAAGTTAGAGAGCAGTGTTAAAAAAAGACTTACACTGGACATCTGGTTGCAACCTTAATTCCATAATAAAAATGAAAGTGTCTCACTAATTTTCTGCCTCAGAGAAAAGCCTTAACTCGGCCCTCCAGAGAGTTGTATTTTTTTCATTGTGTGATATTTTCTTTAAGTCCAATCTCTTACTGACAGTAGGCACCATTGATTCAGTCTAAATACTCCGATTCTTGGTCCTAATATAAATACTGACATGAAATGAAACTCTGTTTCATCTCCCTGCCATAGCCCGCAGAGGTATTTTGGACCAGAGGCATCTGCAAAAAAGTTCAAACTGCTGCACCCGGATTTCATACATTATCTAACATCAAGGTAAGGAAAATGCAGTGCCTCTGGCAAAACAGTGTCTCAGGAAATTCCAGTTCATTCAGCAAAAAGCTCTAGAACTTCCCGTTAGGTTCACTGTAGCCTGCTCTGCAATCAAACCCCTCCACCTCAGTCCCACCTGCTCGCTCCTGTCTTCCCCCCCCCCACTGAAATGTAGTCCAGTTCCACTCTCATCCCAGTCACTGGAGCCCAACCCACTGTGATCAGCCTCGGATTTACACCCCTTCCTGTTCCCATTCATTGCAATGCAGTCCAGTTCCTTGCAGGCCAGTGTGCTTCTATTCCAGGCATTCTCAGTCTTTCCTCTACAACCCATCCTGTTCACTGGGATTTGGGGCACCCCAACTCTTATTTCACTCATCTCATGTACTACGGTCTCCCTTTGTTTACAGGTTTCTGCGATCTGAAATAATAAACAGTCAGTATGGGTATCTGTACATGCCCAGTACCGGTGCCCTCATGCTGCTGACGGCTCTCCATACCTGCGATCAGGTAAGAGTCCTCAGTGCCTTGTACTGTGCTGGCCAGCATGAATTAAGGCTGATGGAGTGAACTGGGGCAGAGTTAAAGGAATTCCCTGGCTTGGGTCTTTAACCCTTGTCATAAGATGCAGAAATACTTGGGCAGAGCTCACAAGTCCAGGCCTGATATGAATCATTTCACTGACAGTGCCTGCAGCAGTATCAATGCTCCTGGGTGCCACATGGCCTCCAGGATGTACCAGGCACATGGGGTGGCACTAGTGGTGGACTGTGGTGTCTGAGTGACCAGCTAACTCCTCATTTGAAGCCTGAGATCTGGTTGGGCTAGGATAGGACAGGCTGGATCTCTAGGACAGGACCTTTTTAAATGAACGGAGATGCCTCTCTCCTAGAGCTGGAAGGGACCTTGAAAGGTCATAGAGTCCAGTCCCCTGCCCTCACAGCAGGACCAAGTACCATCCCTGACAGATTTTGCCCCAGATCCCTAAATGGCCTCCTCAAGGACTGAACTCACACCCTGGGTTTAGCAGGCCAATACTCAAACCACTGAGCTATCCCTCCCCCCACCTCCTGTTTGTTCTGTCACCCTTCCCCTTACCTGCAGGTCAGCGCCTATGGATTTATCACGGATAACTACCAAAAGTTTTCAGACCACTACTATGAGCGGGAGAAGAAGCCTCTGGTGTTTTATGCCAACCACGACATGTTGCTCGAGGCTGAGCTGTGGAAGAGCCTGCACAGGGCAGGCATCATGAAGCTGTATCAGCGGTGAGGCTAGATAGCAGCCCATCAGCATCTCCCTTCTCCTCTTCCCCAAGGGCTCCCTTCTCCCTAGCAGGAGCTATCCACAATTCATGGGCAAAGGTGGCAACTAAAGAGCTCAAATGGAGCAGATGGAGAATCCCTTAATTGCAAGGCTGCGTTCAGCAAGCAGAGGTGCTACATGGAAGATTCTACTTGGATATTGCTGAGATAGCAAAGCAAGCGTAGTAGGTCTCTCGGGGGAACCTGCTGGTTGGCTTGAGGCTATAGCCCACAGACCCTGCCTTTGTACCAGTAATGCCCGTTCCTCCTATTGAATACGGCACCTTCAGGGTGCAAATTCTGACACTAGGGAATGAAAAAAAGGGGATTTCAGAAGCAAGGAGCCTAAATGTTTGAAATGCGTCTCCCAAAGAAGCATGATGATATCGTGCCTGCGCATTCCAGCTTCCCATCGAGTAGCCAGAGCTTCAATGTGGGAACTGCCCAGCCTGCCCTTTCCTCCTCTCCATCACAGACAAGGGTCTTCGGGAGCCAGCAGGGCCTAATTTGTCCTCGGTGGTGGGACATATCACAGCCACACTCCTCAAGCTGAAGAGAGTTGGTGGACATTGCTCCTCGGTAGATTGGGTGCAAGAGTGAAGACCATTGTGGCTAGGAAGCCTTAACTGTATGAAGTCCAAGCACCACACAGATACACTTCTCTGCAGAGTTCCCATCACATGCAGAGTTCAGCAAAGGCTGACACCTCTCTCCAGCCTGGGCTTCAGCCACTCCTTGGCTTGCACTCCATATTGTGGTAGCAACAGAGAGTCAGGTTGCTACATCTTAATTAGGCTTGACAGTACCTTGGGGTAGGTGGGTCTGATCAAATGGAAGGAACTGGACACAATCCTCTGCATTACTGCACACCGCAAACCTAGTATCAGTGTATATTCAGAGCAAAGCCCTTAGCTGTTGTACAGATGGATGGAATCCATCACTTCATCAATGAAAAATAAATCCCCATCAAGCTAATTAAAAAAGTCAATTAGCCAGCAGAAAGCGGGGAGAGGGGTGTTAACCCTGAATGTACAGTTTGTAAGTTAATTACATGTAACTAGGAAGAGTAGATCAGCAGCAGGTTGGTTTCGTTCTGCAGGGAGGCTGCCGTGACTACTGATGGATGGATGCTAAAACACAATGAAGGAGTGTAATTTGAAACATTTTCCTCACTTTGTATAACTGCATAAATGTTGAATGATCGTTTATGTTTTCTTTTGTTTGGCTTGGGGTGGGGGAAGGGGGCAGAAAAACCATTAGAGGCTGGCACAGAAAGTAAAGCAACAATACAAGGAACAACTGAACATCAGAGGATGGCAGGGGCCTGACCAGGCAGTACTGCTGCAGAGAATTTCTATACTGGAGGGGAAAGGTGAACACTTTTGAAGTCCAGGAGTGACAAGTGCTAGCCAAGGCAGCTGATATATTGCATAAGGCCAGGGCTCAGAGTCCACCTGCTGTGAGCTAGGCCCCATGCCTAGGAATTAGGATACTCACACTCAACCATGCTATATCACTGACTCAGTCTGTGATCTCAGGTTTGAATGTCTGTGCAGGCAGTCCCCAGGTTATGTACAAGATAGGGACTGTAGGTTTGTTCTTAAGTTGAATTTGTATGTAAGTCGGAACTGGTCCATATTGTAGGGGAAACTCTAGCCAAACAGTTTCCAGAGCTCAGTTTTATTCTCCCACACCTCACTTCCCTCAGTCCTTTATTCTCAAGCTGAGGTGTCTGCTGAGAAAAGCCGCTCCGCGTTTCCCTGGTCTGCTGCAGGGAAGCAGCTAGCGCAGGGTTGCCTCACCCAGTTGGTAAGTAGGGATCTGATGTAAGTCGGATCCATGTAACCTGGGGACTGCCTGTATTGTGAAATACACACAATAGCAGTGTTCAAGCCAATTTCACTCATTCCACATGTGCAAAGCACCCCCCCCCCACACACACACATTTAACACAGAGGAACTGAGCCAGAAACAAGTTGTCCAAGTTCACTTAAACTTCCCAAGTTAGACTAAACTGGAACTAGGGAACAAGATCTACTATCCCATCCTACTGTTACAAGCTGGTCTCTTGCCTTTTGTAGGCAGAAGGCTGCAACCATGTCCGAAAACTTTCAACCACAGGCTGTAGTGTAGAGGATCTTACACCACGTGACTAACAAAATTGCTGCATAGTACTTGCTTTTTCTATAGCCTAGTAACGTAGCCTCTTCTAATACTAAGGAATAACCCTTAGCTTTCCAGTCCACTACACTCTGCCACAGCATAGGTGAAAGGACTGACTGGACTTTGAAGGTGCATCTACACAACACCTTTAGCTCATAATAAGCTATGCAATTTGCACTATGCAAATTTTGAAATCACTATTAAGCTATTTAGAAATGTACTCTATTTAATAATTTGGTGCTGTCTACACAGTACCAAATTTCAAAATAACTCACTATTCCGAAATGCCCCTTAATCCTCGTAGAACGAGGGTTACCAGGATGTCTGAATAAGCTGCCTGTTGTTTCAAAATCTATTTCGAAATAACAGGCTGCTTCACTAGACCAAAATAACTATTTCAGGATACTTCTGGCATCCTGAAATGGCGCCTAACCACAAGGTTTAGGTTAACACTAAGAATGCAGAGGTGAAAAAGCACAGCGGCGGCAGATGGTGCAAGAACTGGTCAAAATTGAGTGTTTCCAGAAAAGTAAAGTAGATGGATGGTAGTGGTTGAGGACTCCCTCCTAAGAGGGATGGACTCATTCCTCTGTACAGCCAGGGAATCTCAAAAAGTGTCCTGCTTACCTGGTACCTCTTCCTGCTTCTTGACATAGGAACTAATGATACAGTACTGCCAAAAATGACCTTGAGTGGGTCATTGCAGCTTACGTAGCACTGGGAAGAAGGATCAAGGAGTTTGAGGTGCAAGTTGTGTTCTTGTCTATCCTCCCTATTGAAGGAAAAGGTCCAGGGAGGGATCATGAAATTTTGGAAGTAAATGCATGGTTGTGCAGGTGGTGTGGAAGAGAGGGCTTTGGATTCTTCAACTATAGGATGCTGTTCCAGGCACAAGGATTGCTAGGAAGGGATGGGATCCACCTAAAGAGAGGAAAAAATTTCTTTGCAGGCAGGTTTGTAAACTTAGTGAGGAAGCTTTAAAGTAGGTTCAACGGGATGGTGACCTAAGCCTGGAGGTAAATGGGATACCAGGAAGGAACACAAGGAGAAAGGTGCAACAGAGGAGGACCTCCGATTAATACTGAGAAGTTAGGGCAATCAGCTAGGGTATGTCTACACTACAAAGTTAATTCAAACTAACGGACGTTAGTTCGAATTAACTTTGATAGGCGCTACACTAGCACTCCGCTAGTTTGAACTTAATTCGAACTAGCGGAGCGCTTAGTTCGAACTAGGAAAACCTCATTGTACGAGGACTAAGCCTAGTTCAAACTTACTAGTTCGAATTAAGGGGTGTGTAGCCCCTTAATTCGAACTAGTGGGAGGCTAGCCCTCCCCAGCTTTCCCTGGCGGCCACTCTGGCCAACACCAGGGAAACTCGTCTGCCCCCCTCCTGGCCCCGGACCCCTTAAAGGGGCACGGGCTGGCTATAGTGCCCGTGCCAGGTGCAAGCCTGCCAGCACCCAGCCAGCAGACCCTGCACCTGGCATGGCTCCAGCCACCCCCCCGATGCCCCCCCCC